TTTGGCCATCCTTTCTTGTTTCTTTGCATGTCTTACGAACTTAAGCTGTAAACTGGACAGTTTAAATAATACACTGTGGCAACTCTGAAATCAGATTTTCTTCCCTCCCCAAGGTGTTGCTGCTTCTCATTGTTGACTTTATTTAATGACCTCTCTGAATGAATTCTGTAAAGTTACTTGTGTGGGTGTTATGTGGCTGCCATGACAAAGCACCACAAATTGGGTAGCTTGGAACAGCAGTAATGTCTCACAGCCCTGGAGGTCGGAAGTCTGAGATCCAGGTGTGGGCAAGGCTGCTTTCCCTCCGAACCCCATAGTGGAGAGTCCCTTCCTGCCGCTTCTAGAGTCTGGCTGTGGCGGGCCACCCTCTGCATTCCTTGGCTTGTGGCTGCGTGGCTTCAGTCTCTGCCTCTGCGGTCGCGTACCCACCCCGGTGTCGGGTGTCTTGGGGTCCTCATGTGGTCCTCCCTCTTCTTATGAGGACTCCAGTCATACTGGATTGAGGGCCTGCCTACTCCAGTATGGCCTGATTTTTTTTTTTTTTATAAAAGATTTTAATTTTTTGAGGGAGAGAGTGCGAGCAAGAGCAGGGGGAGAGGCAGAGGGAGAGGGAGAAGCAGGTTACCCTCTGAGCAGGGAGCCTGACATGGGACTTGAGCCTGGGACTCTGGGATCATTACCTAGCCAAAGGCAGATGCTTAGCTGACTGAGCCACCTGGGTGCCCCCAGTATGGCCTCATTTTAACTAATTATCGCATCAATAAATATACCCTGGCTTGCCACACATTTTCAATTTCTGGTGTTCTGAAAAAGTGGTTCTGACCATTTTTGCTTCTGTCGAAGGGAGGATTTTGGAGGTTCTTACTCTGCCACTTACCCGTGTCGCCTACCTTTTATTTATTTATTTATTTATTTATTTATTTTAAAGATTTTATTTATTTATTTATTTGACAGAGAGAGAAAGATAGCGAGAGCAGGAACACAAGCAGGGGGAGTGGGAGAGGGAGAAGCAGCCTTCCTGCTGAGCAGGGAGCCTGATGTGGGACTCGATCCCAGGACCCTGGGATCATGACCTGAGCCGAACGCAGACGTTTAACAACTGAGCCACCCCAGGCGCCCTCTTTTTTTTTTTTTTAATTTTATTTATTTATTTGACAGAGAAAGACACAGCGAGAGAGGGAACGCAAGCAAGGGGAGTGTGAGAGGCAGAAGCAGGCTTCCCGCGGAGCAGGGAGCCCGATGTAGGGCTCGATCCCAGGACCCTGGGATCATGACCGGAGCCGAAGGCAGATGCTTAACGACTGAGCCACCTAGGTGCCCTCGCCTTTTATATGTAAGGCATTCATAGTTCTCATTTGTGTTCCATACACTTCAGTCATGCAAAGTGCACAACATAGCAGTGTTGGCATGTTCACGGGGTGGTGTATCCCTTGCCTTGAGCATTTTATCACCCGCCAAAGAAACCCCTTATTTTCCAGTCCTCACTTTCCAGTTCTCCCGTCACTGCCCCCCACCCCCAGGCCTAGGCAGGCACCCATCTGCATTGTTTCTGTACGTTTGCATGGATTCATCCCATATGTGGTCCTTGTGCCTGGCTTCTTTCACTTACTGTCATGTTTTCAAGGTTCATCTATCTTATAGCATGAATCTTTGTACGGCCACTAATAATCCATTGTACGGATAAGCTGCTTTTATTTATTCCCTGACAGTTGGTGGGCGCTTGGGTTTTTCCGCTCTCTGGCTCCTATGAACAGTGCCACCATGGACATTTGTCTACAGGTCTCTGTGTGGACATCCATGTTCACGTCTCAGGTGTACTTCTAGGAGTGGAACTGTGGGCTCACGGAGGGGCTCTGCCTCATGTTGTGAGGACGTGCCAGGCTGTTCTTGAGGCCAGCCTCTGCCAGCATGTGTGAGGCTTTTCCGCGTCCTGGCCAATGTTAACTAGTCCTTTTCTTTTTTTTAAATTAGAGCTGTCACAGTGGGTGGTATCTTCCTCTAGCTGTGCTTTGCATTTCCATGACGGTCAGTGATGTTGAGCATCTTTTTATGTGCTTTCTGGCCACTGGTATATCTTTGGAGGAATGTCTATGCAAATCCTTTGCCCATTTTTAAATTGGGTTGTCTGTTTTTATTTCTACTGTGTTCTAAGAGTTCTTTATGTATTCCAGATATAAGTTCCTTCTCAGATACATGTATTTGCATATCTTTTCTCTGATAAAGATAGTCTTCCCCTCTTACCTTTTTGCTTCACTTTTTCCTGTCATTCCACATATTCTGTGCTCTAGTTACACAAGACCTTGTTTTCCCAGACATCTACTTTTCACTCCTGAAAATGCAGTAAATAGCAGCAGATAGTCATTTGGCAAGCTTTCCTTAAGGCCCTTCTGCGTGCCAGGCCCCCAGCAGCTGGGATGCATCCCCCGGAGTTGGTGCTCAGGCGCTGCGTCTGGGCCCCCTCTCTCATTATCACGGTGCTCATAAAGTTACGTCACAGTGGGATTCCCATTCGCCCTGGAGTTTGGATCCTCACGGATTGTGCCCAGCACTGGGGACCGTCCGTAGCCGTGTGCTTAGTGTTTGTTAATGAGCTCAGTAACCCTGTATTGTTCGTGGCTGTACTCAAGTGGGTGCTTGAGAAACACTTGTTGGCTCGTTGACTGAGAGTACATGTGGTCCCTAAAGAGACTGGGTAAACACAGTTTAAGGCCATCAAAATATTTTTACACAGAAAGGGGCTGGGTTATTAGGATGGGAGAACCTTCTGGAGCTGTGGTCTCCACATTTTGGCCATTAAGATATTGGGGACTCTTGGGGCGCCTGGGTGGCTCAGTCGTTAGGCGTCTGCCTTCGGCTCAGGACATGATCCCAGGGTCCTGGGATCGAGTCCCACATCCGGCTCCCTGCTCAGCGGGAAGCCTGCTTCTCCCTCTCCCACTCCCCCTGCTTGTGTTCCCTCTCTCGCTGTGTCTCTCTGTCAAATAAATAACAACAACAAAAAAGATATTGGGGACTCTTAATATATGCACACATACTCACATACACACGTGTACACACTCATACATGTACACACCCATGATATACATACAAATACATGCTTATACACACACTTGCACATTTACACTTACACATGCACACACCCCATATACATGTATACTCCTACACACATGCGCACACATGTACACACTCCCTGTGTCCATGTATAGTCACACTCATGCACACACACGTGCACACGCTCCCTTCTGCGCACACATATACACTCACTCATGCACACATACTCGCATATGCACACACACCTCACACTCACGTACACCATACACGCGTGTGCATCTACACGGTACAGGTTTTAGTGAGTTACATGCATGCGCTGTACTACTCTATTATGTATGTAATGATGTCACAGGAATGTAAAGTGTAAAACGAGAGATGAAAATACAACTAGATTTGCTTCTGTTTTCTTCCTGCACCCTGTGGATGGTTTTCACCCTAAGGTATGTGCCCTCGCTTGGGAGCTTACTGCTTTAGAGCACGCGGTACTGAGTTTTTGTGTGGAGTTTTTATGAGGCCCGTGGGGTTCCCAAGTAAGTATTAGGGCCTTGCTTTATTTTCTGTCTTAAACTTTAAGGTCAATTAAAGGCAACTACATTTAAATTCTAAAATGCTGAGTAATTTCACAGATGAAAATAATCTCGTCATTAATTCTGTTTAGAATATAAAGCACAATCTTACTTTGAAGTGTTGTTTTAAGAAGTAAATCATGGGGGCGCCTGGGCGGCTCAGTCATTAAGCGTCTGCCTTCGGCTCAGGTCATGATCCCAGGGTCCTGGGATCGAGCCCCACATCAGGCTCGCTGTTCAGCAGGAAGTCTGCTTCTCCCTCTCCCACTCCCCCTGCTTGTGTTCCCTCTCTCACTGTCTCTCTCTCTCTGTCAAATAAATAAATAAAATCTTAACAAAAAAAAAAGTAAATCATGAAAAATGATACAACCACATTGTAGAAAATTTGGAAAAAAGAGGAAAGAAATCTACATTTTGTTGTGGTTATTTATAGCAGTGTTGGTTAGAGTAAGACCCCCTCCCCCTCTGTGGGGTACCTTAACTTTACTATGTTTTTTAACCAAAAACAACTTTCTTTCTTTAGAACTTTCTGTACTAAAAACCAAACAGCCTTTTAATTTTTTTTATTTTTATTTTTTTAAAGATTTTATTTATTTATTTGACAGAGAGAGACACAGCGAGAGAAGGAACACAAGCAGAGGGAGTGGGAGAGGGAGAAGCAGGCTTCCCGCGGAGCAGGGAGCCCGATGCGGGACTCGATCCCAGGACCCCGGGATAATGACCTGAGCCGAAGGCAGACGCTTAATGACTGAGCCACCAGGCACCCCCCAAACAGACTTTTTAATGTGACTTCCGTATTTATTAGCCTGTGATCTCTCTGATCTGTCCTTTGCTGCTCTGTGAGTGAGGTGTGGGTGACTCCTTGTCTGTAGGGAAGCTGAGGTTTGAGGGTATGATTCTTTGACTTGTGTGATTGGGAATCCTAGCTCTAAGCAAGCATGTAGGTTTTTTACGTACATGGAATTGGAATGTTTTGGCACACGGAGTAATGTGTGTTCACTGTAAAAACAGTGGGACAGAGAAATTATATGGCTCTTTCTTTAGTTCTAACCTTCTTCTGGACTCTAGAGAAAAGGAGGGCTCTTTTCCATGAAACTTGTAAATAGTTGACTTTTTTCTGCCCAAGTTGAAAACTAGATCCGACTGGTCCTGGATCTGTGGGTGTGTTTGCTGATTCATAGGCGGGTGGACACATCACGGCGTGGTGATTGTTCGGAGCAGAAGGAGGTGCCCCTGAGCGCCAGCCCCGCGGCATGAACGAACGGGGGTTGACGTGGCCACAGTCCGGTGCTGCGTGAGCACACGGTGGAGGGAGGGCTGGCTGGTGGCAGCCTCCACTTTCCGAGCAGCTGTTTTTATTGGCCATCGCCTTCCCTTCTCCAGACTTGCCCACGCCCCGGGTCCACGAGCGGAGGGACCCACAGCCCGGTCGAATGCAGGTGCCGCAGGGGAACCCGCTGCTGCTCTCACACACCCTGCAGGAGCTGCTGGCCAGGGACACCGTGCAGGTGGAGCTCATTCCCGAGAAGAAGGGCCTCTTCCTGAAGCACGTGGAGTACGAGGTCTCCAGCCAGGTGAGGGGTAAACGGTGTGTGCCTGCTGGGAGACGAGGCGGGGTGGGGTGGCCTGAGGGGGAGAAGGGCCGCAGAGAGAATCCGTGTGCTGGGCTTAAAGGGAAGATCCAAAACTGGACGCCGAGAGCCAAGCGACCCAACACATGTTTCCATAGCCTGGGTGTCCCCGCATCTTGTTCTGGCTCAGCCACACCCCCAGCTAGCTCAGCCTGCCCTCCCCCCCCGGTCCCTATGCTGGGATGCTGCTCGGAGGAGCTCATCCAGTCTGCAGGGCACACGCCGCGGGAGCCGGCCAGCCTGATGTGGTTTTGCAGTGGTGGGAAATCCCTGAGGGTAGAGTATGGGCTTCGGGTCCCGTTCGGAGGGCAGGATTGGTGTGTGTCCATCTCATCCCCACTAAGGACGCTGCCCGCGCTGTCAGGGGCCCCCCGATACCGGAGTTGAGGCGCTGGGCACCTGGCTGTGCGTCTGTGCGGAGGCGGGGTGGCATCTGCAGTGCTAGTCTTCCGTCCCTTCCTCCGTTCTCTTTCTATATCCTGGTGCTGTTAGAATGGATCCTGGGGGTAGTTTTTATTTGGAAACCTAGGATTAAGTCATCGATGAGCCGACAGCATCCTTGGGCCTGTGGAGTCCCGCTGTGTCAGTGGGGGCCGCACAAGGACAGGCGGAGCAGGGCCCCGCGGGCGCGACAGAGTCCTGCTGCTGTGGGGCTTCGGTTGGAAGAGTCTCTGTCATCCCGGGGAGGAAGCGCGTTTTCCGAACCGAATGGCTGTGTGCGTGTGCTGTGGGAATCGGCAGTCACGGGATTTTTGTTTCAAGGTGTTCTCAAGCTGCAGAGACCGAAGTCGGCGAGTCAGCTTTGTTCTAGTGCGCTTGCGGGTGCTGCTCCCCGGGCGAGGGCGGGTCGGGGGGGGCCCAGCCCCTTCCTCCGCGGGCTGGAGCCGGCGCGGGCGTGTCTCCTTCCGGCCTCCCGGCCCAGGATGCGGTCCAGGGTGTGGTGGCTCCGAGCATCGGGGGCTGCTCTCCCCTGGATGGGCGCTGGCGGCTGGCCCTTCCCGTGTCGTCCAGGTGCCCCGTTTCTTCAGGAAGTCTGTTGTCCCCGCTCTGCCCTGGCCCCCTCCTGGGATGCGCTGCTCCAGCCCCAGCAGCACCCCGCTCACCAGAGGCCGTGGTGGATACAGACGTGGCACGACGTGTGCCGTCCCCAGCAGAGCGGCTGCCTGACGTCGTGGTTCTCGTAGAGCTTACGGTTTTTTTATGGACGTTATATTTTGGGGGGCATTTTGAGGTTCACGGCAGAATTGAGTGGAAGGAACCGAGATTTCCCATATCCCCCTGCTCCCCGCCGCCAGGACAGGCTGCCCCATGATCAGTGTCCCCCACACGGGGCATTTATCGTGACCGGTGATCCCATGCGGACATGTTGTCACCAGAGACCACGGTCGGTGCGAGGGTCCCTCTGGGTGGGCGCGCATTCTGTGGGTCTGGACGGTGACAGCCGGTATCCACTGCCGCTTGTCCCACAGTGTTCCCGGCCCTGAAGGTCCCCTGCGTCCCACCTGTTCATTCCTCTGCCCCGAGCCCCTGGCAGCGGCCCTCCTGTGCTGTGTGCACAGCTCTGCTTCCCCAGGGCGTCCAGTCGTCGGGGTCAGACTGGCTGCTGTCCCTGAGCAGCGTTATTTACAAGCAGTACAGTGTGTGTGATTTCCGGGATCGATGCTCATACGCGCACGTCGTGTGAGCTTGGACATGGAGCCAGGTTGGGTTCCTCTGCGCGTGGGGGCTGGTGCTCACGGAGCCCGCGGGTCTGTCCGGGACGGGCGTCCGACGTCCACTTGTCCAGCCTTCTGGGCGGTGTCTGGTCTGCCACGACGGTCGGCACTCTCCCAGGAGGCCTTCGTGCTTGTCACGCTGGCGCTGCGTGACCGCGTTCGGGAGGGCGCCCGTGGGACGCAGTGAAGAGGGCATCACTCGCACCAGCTGCCTTTAATGGGGGGTGGGCCCAGCTGTGCAGGCGCGGCCTCCTGCCAGGAGTCCGGTCTCCTCAGGAGAGCCGAGCATCGGGCGGTGGGAAGCCGGGTGCGTGCCGCCGGGGAGGACGGGGCTTGTCCTCGGTAGAGCCTGGGCGGCAGGGTGAGGCACCGAGCCGCACCGCTCCCGCGGGCTCCGGTTGGTGGCGGGGGTGGGGGGCGGGGGGGTTTCTGGCGTCTGAGCACAGGGCCCTCCGTTCTCTTGCAGCGCTTCAAGTCCTCTGTGTACAGACGGTACAATGACTTCGTGGTTCTCCACGACATGCTGCTGCAGAAGTTCCCCTACCGCATGGTGCCGGCCCTGCCGCCCAAGAGAGTGCTGGGAGGTAAAGCTGGGGGTCTGGCTGGCAAGGGACGTGCCCAGGAAGGCCAGGTCGGCCGGGGGGGGGGGGGGGAGTGCAACCCAACCTGCGCCTTCACAGTGAGCAGTGCCCATCTTGCCTGTCGGGGGTCCGCAAGAGGTGGATCACTGTTGGTTCAAACAAAAGGGACCCATGCTTTTCCTGGCAGATTTCTGCACCCGAGCGTGTTTGCAGGGGGCTGGGGTGGGGGTGCTGCCCAGCCTATTTGCCGTCCCCATGCTCTCTGCCCGCAGCTGACCGGGAGTTCATCGAGGCCCGGCGGAGGGCGCTGAGGCGCTTCATTAACCTGGTGGCCCGGCACCCCCCGTTCTCCGAGGACGTGGCCCTCCGGCTGTTCCTGTCCTTCAGTGGCCCTGTGAGTTACTTCACTGTCGCAGGTGGGGCCTGAGGTTCCCTACACTGCCTGGCATTCTTTTTTTTTTTTTTAAAGATTTTATTTATTTATTTGACACAGAGAAAGAAAGCACGAGCAGGCAGAGAGGCAGGCAGAGAGAGAGGGAGAAGCAGGCTCCCCGCCGAGCAGGGAGCTGGACATGGGAGGCTCGATCCCAGGACCCAGGGATCATGACCTGAGCCGAAGGCAGCTGCTTAACCGACTGAACCACCCAGGCGCCCCGCTGCCTGGCATTCTTAAATTTGCTTGTTGTCTTGCTCTCCTCGGCTTGGGTGCCCAGACGGAGTCTCCTGCCTACGTGACTGCCCCAAGTGAGATTTACTTCCTTCCCAGATAATGGGGCTGTGATGTCAAGAGGCATCCTTGGCTTTGGCTTGGCAGGATTCGGTGTGTCGAGCTGGAGGTTCTGAGCGCCGTCGCCCTGAAGGCTTTGCTTGGGAGGGTTACGGAAGTGCCGGAGACCCCAGATTGCAATGGGTGTTTCCAAGAAAGCAAATGAGGCCACTTTGATGATGTGCCATTGGAAGACTGAGCGGAGTCTTTCTCACAGAGCTGCAGGATAGACCCACCATGTCCACGTGGACCTTAATTTCTGTTAGAAACCAAGCGGCTGTGTCTGTCAGCTGTTGTGCAGTGTGTGTTAGCCTCGGGGAGCGAGGCAAAGCCCTTGTTCCCAGTTGGGGAGGACGTCCCTGCCTTGTCCCAAGGGCAGCCTGCTCGCCTAGGGAGAGGGGTGGGGGCAGAGGCTCCAACAAGGCCGCTTTACCCGTGGAATCAGATGGGTCGTCTTCTGTCCGAGGGAAGCCCTTCTTGAGCAGGGACCTGGGGGGGCTCAGTCCCACCCTCTCCCACCGCAGGACGCAGATCACGGAGCCGCCGAGGCAGAGACACCCTGTGAGGCCGAGGGGCCTGGTGCCTCCTGGAGAAGGCTTTCCTGCCGCTAGCTCAGATGCCCCTCTTACGGGACGTGAAGCAGGCACTCCGTGAATGCTTGCTGTGACCGTCTGCCCTTGAGCTGGGAGTGTGGGCCTTTGAACCCTGGGCGGACAGGTTCCTTCAGCGCAGGGATCTTTCCTGCCAGGGAGGAATGCGAGGGGGCCTGGGAGCTGCACACTGGGCACAGAGCTGGGTGGCGTCCCCGTCCTGGAGTGTGAGGCTCCTCTGACCCTTTGCCCTCACAGATAGGGTGTTGTCCCTGGGGCCTCCCTGACTCCGTTTCCTCTGGTAAAATGAGAAAATTAGGACAGATGATCCTCAGGCATCTCTGAAATTCTAGAATTCCTTGACTCATGAAGAGCTGCCGGTTAGGCTCTCTGCCTGTATTTCCCGTGGCTCTTTGTGGGTCCCGGTCTTGGACATGGCTTTGCCAAGGAGGCCTGTGTGTTGCCCACCGGCCCTCCCGGGGCTCTGTGGGCCTGGGTCCTGTGGGTCTGTCTGAAGGAAGGAGGAGACCTCAGCTCGTCTCTGTGCCCCACGTGGTGGGACCTACCAGGTGACGTCTGTGGCATGGAGGTCCTCTCTGCGCTGTGGACGGAGTTCCTGTGTTTCTGGAGAGAGAGCTGCCCTCTGGAGCTGGAGGTTTTGTGGTGCCGCTGTTGTTAAGTCAGGCTTTCCTGGCTGTGGAAAGCCACCCTAAAGGTTAAGGTCAATGGGAAGAAGTCTGGGGAGACACAGTGACGAGATATTCTGGGATGCCTGTGTGACGGCCCTCCTGTGGGAGCACGTTCCTCTTGAGGAAGGCCTGCGTCCTGCCTCCTGCTGACCTCCTTGGTCTCATACAGACTGTTCTGCAGCTTGGTAGAGCTGGCTGTTCTGTTTCCTTTTGCAGGACGTGCAGAACAAGTTAAAGGAATCAGCTCAGTGTGTTGGAGATGAATTCATGAACTGTAAGCTGGCTCCTCGGGCCAAGGTACTTTGCTCGTCGTGATGTGCCCCCTCCGGTCCAGGCAGTGACCGCCTGACCCCATGCCTGACCGCGTGCTGGGGATGCTGCTGAGGCCCGCCGCATGGTTTCCTCATTTCACCTGCTTTCACCTGCTCGGACACACAGCGGGTGTCCTGCCAACTTCACAGATGGGGAGACGGGCCCCGAGAGGCTGCCAAGGTCCCAGACCACCGAGTAGCCCACCCGTAGGGGGCTGAACATGGTCTGGCCACAGAAGCCGGCCAGCTCTCCTGCCACATCCCCGAGGCTTTTTTGTGATTCAGGTGGACTCCCGCTGGGTCACTAGCCTCTCAGATTTCAGAGGGGACGGGAGTGTTGCATTGGTTTATTGTAAAATTTAGCACATCTGTTCTTTCTCTAAAGAGGATTAAGGTGGCTACTGGGTAGCTTTTTCCTTTTCCTTCTTAAACTGCTTCTCCATACAGAAATACGGACTCCTGCCCACGTGCCCACTCCATTCCCTAAGCTTCCTGTCTTCTAAGCGTTATGTAGTTAATGTTCATGTTAAAGAATAGTTCATGTTACTGGGTAGTTTAATAGTAAAGCTGGTAAAAAGTGACTCTTGGGGGAGAAATGCAGCCTCCCGGCGGCCTTGCCCTCACGCGGAGAGTCACTTTGAGCGTGACGGTTATTATCGGAGTGTGTGTTCCTGCAGGACCTCCAGTTGGATCCGCTTTCAGTGGACGCTAGAATCGCCATCTCCTGGGGCCACTCAGCTTAGTGTTTGTGGTATATGCGTGATGTTGGTTTCTGTTTCTTTTTTGGACAAGAAGGGAGGCCCCGTGAGGCCCCATGTGGCCTGGCGTCTGGGCCCACATGCTGCTCTGTCGCCGGGCTTCTTCCCCGTCCTGATGGGCGTCGTCTCCAGAAGGCCCTTCACGGCCAGTAATGCGTGGCCTTGCTGTCCTCCCTGCCAGGACTTCCTCCCGGCCGACATCCAGACTCAGTTAGCCGTCAGCCGGGAGCTCATTCGGAACATCTGCAACAGCTTCCACAGGCTTCGCGACCGGGCTGAGCGGATTGCATCGAGGGCCGTCGACAATGCTGCTGACCTTCTCGTATTTGGGAAGGAGCTGAGGCAGGTGCCCCGCGGGGGGGTCTGCAGACTTGGTGGCAGATGGTGTTTTACTACAGCGACGCCCGTTCTGACCAGTTTCACTGTTAGAGGGTGAAGGAGAGGGCTGGGGAAATGGGTTATGGAATTTAGAGGAAGACAACTGGGGGAATTTAGGCAGGGAAGGGTGGATCCCTAAACACACAAATGTGTGCCAGTCGGTCACACGTCGTTTTCCCTGCTGTCAGGACTAGACTGGAAAAGGACGGCCCGAACTGTTCACACTCCCCTGGGTGGAGGGGCAGTGGACCGTCAGCCAGGACTGCACCCTCCTCCTCAGTTTCAAGAACTCTGCCTCGCGAGCCAACGTGTGCACACCCATCCCTGGGGGGCTTGTTGACCAGAACTGGCTCAGAAGGCCTGGGGCGGGGGCTGAGGTCCTGCCTTTCTGACAGATGCTCAGATGTCCCCAGGGACCGCTCTTCGCGTGGCAGAGGTTGCCCTGGGACGACATGTCATGCTGGACGGCCGGCTCAGCTCCCAGGCCTCGAGTGTCTTGTCTCCTCTGTTTCTTTTTCCCTTAGTGCTTTGGGGTCTGACACGACCCCGCTCCCTTCCTGGGCCTCTCTGAACAGCAGCACGTGGGGGTCCCTTAAACAGGCGCTGAGAGGCCTGTCCGTTGAATTTGCACTGCTTGCTGACAAAGCTGCCCAGCAGGTGAGTGACGTTGTGCTCGGTGCCCGTTCTGAAGAGCACCTGTCCCTGGGGAACGGAAGCGGGGACATCTTTGGAGTCCTGTGTCTGGAGTGAGTGGGTGCTGGTCTTGGTTGGAACTACATGTCCCCATCTGTTCTGAGTGGCTCCTTGTGAGCCCCTGACGCTCTGAAGATGGTTGCCCGTGACAAGGAGACTGGGTGCTGGTCCTTTGAAGGTTCACTTTGCTGAGATGAGAAGCTGTAATCTGTCCTTGAAAATGTAATCTCGGACTTCCCCGGATGCTTCTGGGTGGACCAGGTAGTTCCCACTTTGCTATCCTAGTCAGCAAGTACTTGGTTCCTTGATAACTTATCAGGACAGTAAGTAAGCTCCGGAGCCTTGAGAGCGCCCCATCTCCATTCCCCGCAGGGACCCAGTTAGCCTCCAGAAATGCTTCTGCCGCACGCGCAGGGGCCTTGTGGTCCTTGGGGATCTGTTTGAAGGTCCACAGTTTACTGGCAGACGGAGAGGCTCATCTGGGTGCTTTTATGCTATAAAACCCCTGCATGACTTTGAGGGTGAGCGTTCGTGGCCTGGTTCTTGGGGAAATGGTCTGTAGGCTGGTAGTAAATAAATTAAAATGGTGTACCTGTGAAGGGACTTGCTGCCTGTCTGACGCTCAAAGCTCCTTAGTGGCAGGCTGGAGAACACAGCGATGGTGGTGGACTCTCCGACCGTGGCGCTGGGGGATTTTCAGGCTCAAGGTGGGGCCCTCAGAGGCCCAGGACGTCTCTAAGTTCCGAAAAGGAAATCTGATCTCGTTGGCTGGTACGGAAAGTCCTGGGTTTCCTTCCTCTGTGGTCCGGTGCCTGCGTGTTCCCATTAGAAACTGAGCGTAGGGTGGTGGTGGCATTTCTCGGAACTGGCGCTGGGCCCGTCCCTCTCCAGGCCTGCCAGGTGCCCACGTGTCCACCGCGGGGAGGCCTGGCGCTGTGCCATTGCAGGCGCGGCTGCAGAGAGAGGCAGCCCGCTCTGCGTTCGGCTAGTGCCTTGTGCTGGGCCTGTGCTTGGGGCATGTTGCTTCCCGGGCCCGTTTCATGTCCACGAGAAGCAAGGGCTGGATGAGGTCATTCGGACACTTTTCATGGAACCTGTTGGACTTTCCTCAAAGCTCATTCTAAACCTAAACTTGAAGCTGTCCTGGTTGCAAGGACCTAGGCCCTGGGCCCACACAGCTCCCAGTTCAACAGGTAGCCTCAGGGCAGGGGTGGGAGAGCGCGTGGGGTGCACCGTGAATCCCCAGGCGTCCCGCAGAACGGAAACTCCTGACTCTGTCGTCTCCTCTCCTGTGTTTTCCGACTGAGATTTGGATGCTGTGTTTCTGCCTTTGAAGAGGGAGAGAGGGTTCAGGCTTCTGATGTGGTGCAAGTTCATAGTTGGAAGCTGAACCCCAAGCTCTGAGATCTCTGATAGCTGGCGGATGCTGCTTTGAAATGTGACGTCTGAGGAAGTACCACTTCCTGACTATTCCTCGTGGTTTTCACGTTGAAGTGAAATTAATATAGTTTTAATGTGAAACTGGATCAAACGACCATCAGGACTTTCATCCAGCACAGCTGGGGTTCTGTTCACTCTCACTGCATGAGGAAAGACACCCAGGGGCTGGTTTTCCTAACTCTGTTTCCACACACCCTGGTTTTATTCTCCCCATACCTGTTAGGGGCCCCAGGTCACTATATCCCAGCGGGACAACAGAGACTCAGAGGGGGCTGTTTTTTCCATGCTGACAGGATGGTGGTTTGGGGTCTTGTGTGGCATTGAACGAGAACTGAGACCTAGCCAGTGACGTGACCTGCTGCTAGACGGAGGAACCTCCGTCCTCCTGTGCCCCTCCGCCCAGTCAGGCGGGAGCAGGGCACCTGTGGACCTCTGGTGTTTTCCTTCTGGGTTTAGAAAACCTGGAACATGCCTGTTATTTTCCTGTGACCTTATTGGCTCGAGTCTTGGCTGTGGGTGTGGGAATGAGTGGCCTGGAACCTCTGAGCTGGGCAGGCATGAGTCCCGGGTCCCCTGAGTTGGTGGCAGAACCTGGGCAGGAGCCCTGGCTCCCAGGGCAGTGCTTGTAACCTGGTCAGACTCATCCTCCTCGTTTCTTCCCATCTTCTGCCTTCTGGCTGCACCCTCTACACAGTCGCTGTGTGGTTTCCGAGGTGAGCTTTTCATGCTGAGCCGTAGCTGGAGCTCTAGAGGTTGTGAAAAGGGCTCTTTTCTCTGAGGAGCCCACACTGCACCTGGGAGAGGTGAGGTGCTCACCAAACACCTGAGAGGTGCTTGGTGAATGCCTAGGAAGTGTTCAGCAAACACCCGGGCAAGGTGCTCGGCAAGTGTTGGTGGCTGAGGGACATGAGCTGTGCTAGAGCCCTCAGGACATGTGGCTGTGAGCACAGTGTTAGAGTGGAGGGCTCCCAGGAAGCCAGCCTAGCCCCAACTGTACTGTGGCTTTGGCACGCTGGGAGGCCCAGTGCTGTGGAACAGCAAGCACGAGTGGGCAGATGACCTTGGGAACTGAGGATGTAGTTTTCATCCAGCTGCTGGGTTCTGTGGCTTCCCTGCCTTACGTTGGGGGGCCTTCGTGTGGGAAGGGGGCTCTTCTGCAGAGCTGGCTGGTGGCTGTGGGGGGAAGAGCCAGCTCAGGCCTGCGTATGGGGGGCCCTGGCCGGGTCTGTGGGTCCTGTGGTGCTCGGTGTTGGTCACCCACCCTTGTTTTCTAGGGCAAACAGGAAGAGAATGACGTGGTGGAGAAATTGAACCTCTTCTTGGATTTGCTCCAGTCCTATAAAGTGAGTCTGGCTGCTCCTTGGCCAAGGACAGAGCTTTTGAGAAGGATCCATGATCTTTCAGGGGTGTGACTCCAGAGGAGTGGATGAAGAGCTGCAAAGCCAGGGCTGTAGAGGGAAGATGGGCCGTAGACAGTCTTGCCAGAGTTATTTCCCCTTGGCGGGTTCTGCAGGTGCTCTGGGCTGTGGCCCCAGCAGGTGTGCAGACAGGCCTCTGGCTTCCCTTGGTCTGAGAATGGCGGGTGTGTGTGTGCACGCATGTATACATGCACGTGAGTGTATGTGTATGCATGTGTGTGTACATGCGCACGTGTGTATGTATGAGTGCATGCATTTGTGTATGCATGTGCATGCGTGTGAATGTGTGAGGGTATGCACGAGCGCGTGTCTGTGTGTGTACACGTTAAGACGTGTGTACGTGTGTGTATGTATGCGGGTATATGTGTGCATATGTAGGGGTATGTGTGAATGTGTAAATTGTGAGCACGGGTATGTACGTGTGTGTATGTGTACATGTAGGAGTGTATACACATGTATGTGACTGCACACGTGCACGTGAGTGTATGTGCATGTATGCAGAGCACCTGTATATGTGTGCGGGCGTATATGTACGTCCCCACACGTGTGTGCGTGCACACGTGTGACCATGTGCACATGTGTGCATAGAGGTGTGTGTGTGTGATAGAGAGAGAATATGCTCGCTCCCTACACGTGTGTGGGGGGCTGGCCTGGCGCGGAGGGAGCTTGCCTCTTCTGTGGGCAGAGATGCTGGGAAGTCCGACTCCAGCTCTGTGTAGGGCTGGCTTCTGAACCGTGGCGGTGTCGGTGATGGGCTGGATGGTCTGTGAAGCCGGAGAATCCTTCGTGCTGAGCTCAAGGAGAGGGGGCCCAGGACTTTGAGGAAGGTTCCAGAAGGGATTTGTTAAGTTGGATGGTAGCCAGGTCCCCTCGAGATCCCAGCACTGTGGTTCTGTGGCCAGTATTTCCCACAAGATTCCTGAGCGGGGCTATTTTAGGGCTCCAGGGAAATGCCGGTGCATCTTCCTTTTGGAGGTGGGTCTTTCTGCTGCTGGAGGGACATGGGCTTCCTGAAACCGGGCAGCGGAAAAGTCGGAGACCCACCTTCCATCTTCCCTGTGCGTCTTCCCTGTGGACAGGACCTAGTTTATGTGGGTTTTCGGTTGGCGGGGCTGATGTGCACTGCAGCCCCTCCTGGTTTCACCCGGGGCCTGTCACCGGAACCACTCCGTTCCACGACTCCTTCCTGAGCGTGGAGTGAGTGGGTGTGCGTGGCAACGGTTTCTGAAGGGGAGGGGCTCGTGTGTGAACAGCGCTGACTTTGAAGCATGTGTCTGTTTGCCGGTCTCTTCCCACTGCCCCCTTCCACGCGGCCTCCCCCGGGGGAGGGTGGCTCCGGGTCCCTGCTGGCTGGTGGCTGAGCGCAGGTGCCCTCCCCGCACAGGACCTGTGCGAACGGCACGAGAAGGGCGTGTTGCACAAGCACCAGCGTGCCCTGCACAAGTACAGCGTGACGAAGAGGCAGATGCTGAGTGCCGCTGTGCAGAGCCGCGAGCCCGACTCGGCGCAGCCGCTGGAGTCCCGCATCGTCGAGGTGCTTCTGGCGGGGGGCGGGGGGCGGGGCGGGGCGGCCCGTGGCTGCCCCCCGGCTGGGCTGCCCGTGAGCAGGCCTGGCCTGGCTGGGCCCCGGACCTGTACTTCGGGGCCTGGCCCCTGAGCTTCCGGAGGGTCGCTGCCTGGGGCCGGTGTGGCCAGCGGGGGGATGGGCAGGCGGCCCTGCGGTGCCTAGAGCAGAGCCTTTGGGGTGCCCGGTTGGGGTGAGTGGCTTGGAATTTTCCTCAGCGCTGGTGCAGGGAAGGGCTTGAGGCCCCGGGCTCGGGGAGAGGCCGTGTATTGGTGTGGCGCTCCGCAGCGGCTGCTGGGCCAGGTACGAGGGGCGGCTCCTCTCTCCGCAGCAGGAGAACGCCATCCAGACCTTGGAGCTTCGGAGCTTCTTCTCCTTGTACTGCCTGCACCAGGAGATGCAGCTGGTCCACATCTACCTGCCCCTCACCTCCCACATTCTCGGGGCCTTTGTCAACTCGCAGATCCAAGGCCACAAGGAGGTGGGTCGGCCAGCCCCTTGCTGTCTGGGAGCCTGGCACTCCTGCAGCCGGCCTTCCGGCATTGCCGGGAGCACGGGGCCTGTAAACAGGCCAGGTTCATGTCTGCTGTCGCACACGCAGGCCGAACAGCAGTGGCAAAGCTGTCCTCGCGATTCTTGGAGGGTGGGGGGCAGCGTGAGACCATGATGGAAGTGTTCCTCCTCTCCTGGAGGAATTCTGGAGTCGGGTAAAGCGCAGCATCCCCTGGAATGGAGAGAAGAGAGGGTGGGGCGTCGGTGAGAGAAGGCGGGGGTTGGCGCAGACCCCGGGTCCGTGCCCTCCGGCCGGCGGCTCCCGCACTGCTGGGAACACGCCCTCTACTTGGCCAGAGATGTGGCAAGCTCCGCGGACACCTGCTGGCCCCGAGGACCCAGAGCCGCATGGTGCTAGCTTGTCTTGGACTCTTTGTGCCTCCGCAAACGGGGACAGGCGTGTCCCTCTCCAGACAGCTTAGAAGGGGGCGTGTGTCTAGGCTTGAAGAAACTCGTATATGGTCCCCGTGTGGTTCTGCCTTTGCTGGCCGCTGCTGACGTGGTGTGTGCTGGGTTGGGTCAAGGCCTGGTGGCAGCCCCAGCAGCACAGTCACCTGCTGGGGGGGGGGGGCGCATCTGCCCGTGGCCACCTGCAGCTCCCTGGTACGGTAGCGTGCTCAGGCCAGAGTCCCTAAAGCCTGGGCCGCAGTCCCGGCTCTGCGCCTGTTAGGACTCTCCAGCCTTGGCGTGTTTAATCCCTGTGGCAAGTTTCCGTTTCTGAAAGACAGTGTGTGCTGCGCGCCTGCTCGGCCTCCATGATCGGCGTGGGACCTGGAGGGTGATGGGCTACAAGCGTCTGGGACTGCAGCGTCCCCATCCCTGGGGAGTGTCCCAACGGGTCAGCCAGAGAGGAACGGGCCTCTCCCGCTCTGGTGGAGGCCCGCGCAGGGCCCCGTGCGGGTGGGCTCGGGTCTGGGGAGGCTGATTTCCGAGCTACCCTCCTCTCCCGCACGTCTGACCCCCACTTTCTCTCTGGTGCGGCTTGTCTTGTGTGACCCGCCACACCGGGAGGCTGGTCCTGGCGGAGCCCACCTGCCTGCCCCCTGGCGTGCATGCGGCGCACACCGTTCCTCCTCTTCCGGCGTTCTCCGGGGGGGAAGGGGCTGAGATGCGGCGAGGGGAAGGGCCAGCTGCCCCCTGGTCTGGTCTGGTGGCACGGGGCTCCTCGGGGGTTTCTCACCCTGTTGTGCTCCCTCTTCTCCAGATGAGCAAGGTGTGGAACGACCTGAAGCCCAAGCTCAGCTGCCTCTTCGCGGGACCCAACAGTTCCCTGCCCCCGCCGAGATCCCCGCAGGACGGCATGTCTCCTCAGTAGTGCCAGTGGCCTGGGGCGGGAGCCCTGGCGGCCTCACTAAAATCTCTTTCCAAACGGTGTGTCCCTGTTTAATTCCCTTCAGACAGCGGCTGCCTTCCCCCCCACCACAGGGTCCCCGGTGTTGGGCTGATGCCCGGGCTGGGCAGGGGGGGCCAGGGTCTGGGTGCTGCCCTCCTGGGGAGCAGGGCCGAGGACATGATCTGAGCATCCACGGGAGCCAGAGGCCACGGGGATCTGCTCAGCTGCCCCTGCCCCCCTGCCCCCCGCACTGTGCCTGGGAGTCTGGTGGGGCGAAGTTGAGGGCCCCTGGAATGGTTTTCTCTGATTCCCAGAGGTCACGGTGGCAGGATGGTTTCCACATAGCAGGTGCCCGGGGTGGGGAGGCATGTGCAGGGGGCCCCCCAGGGGCTTAGAGCAGTCAGGAGGGTCTGGATGAGCTGAGCCCACAGAGGGCAGGACTGTCCCTGTGTCGGATGAGAGGTGGCTATACCTGGCACATCCCTGGAGGCCAGCCGGCCGTCCTGGGCCTGTGTCGGGCAGCAGTGTGAGTGTGTGTGGGGTGGGGGCTCGGGGGCACTGGGTGCACAGACGGTGTTGATTTCCAGGGGACAAGCCCCAGGGAGTGCCATGGGGGCCCTGGCCTGGTCTCTAGGGTCAAGTGTGCTGTGTCCCTCCCTGTGTGCACGCTCACTCTCTGACCCGTGTGCGCCTGGTGGTCGGCGATGGCGGAGACAAGGCGAAGTGGTGCTGTTTGTCCAAGTGCAGCAACGGTTCCGTCCTCTCAGCTGCCCGGACGCCCGTTTCTCTGCAGACTGCACCTGGAGGCTGGAAGGGCAGAGGAGGCCGGGTGGGGGGCGGTGTCCCAGCTGGACTCTGCAGGAAGGGTCCGTGTTGCCGTGGCTGAGCCGCTGTAAGCTGGCCTCACTTACTTCAGCCACTCAGACTCCTCCTTCTTGCCTCCCTCCGGCACCCGCAGGCCCAGAGGGCTCTGTGCCTGGAGCTCTGGGGCTCTTGTGCGCTTAGGGCCCGGGTGCTTCCTGCTCTGAATCCCTTCCGTGTAAACACAGGCAGGGTGCTTTCTCCTAGGCCTGCAGCCCTTTGAGCTCACTGCTCCCCGGCCCCGAGCGGTGCTGGAGGAGGTTCTGACCGCACTACAGGATTCCTGAGATTCATGCCCTCTGGGGGGGAGCGCAGACTCCTGGGGGTGCGCCCGGGTCTGATGTCCACCTGTGTGTCCGCACACAGCATGGGGACCGAGGGTAACTTCTCTCCCCACAGACAGGTGTGCTTCCCCGAGGAGACCATGCACACCGCAGTCTGGGGGCAAGTGTCCTTTTGGTCCGGCCAGACGACCGGGTCAGGCCGGGACTCGGACCCGCCGCACGTGTGGGTTCTGCCTGTGCCGGCGGAACAGCCACGGGGGTGTGTGTGTGAGGGGAGACCTGCGGCGCCCCAGCCCGCGCGAGGCCCCGACCGAGGCTCGTGCCTTCCTGGGCTGACGAGAAGGGGCAGCGCATCTGCAGAGCCCAGCACGTTGGGGGTCGTTTTGGTCAGTGGCCTGTTCCTGGGTGGTGGCTTGTGTTCTCACCCCCCGCCATAGAAACGGGTTCTCGGGCGCCGGGAGCGGGTCTGCGCCACCCCGCGGGGCTGCTCCCGTGGCCCTGTGTGCACTTGAGCCACAAAACGTGACCTCTGAGCCTCCTGTTCATCCCTGTCCGATGCTGCTCACCCACCCGTGGCCTGCACGTGGCTGGTGAGGGACAGGTGACCCCAGGACAGTGGAGAGCAGGCCCTGCCTTGCATGCACTGGGGCTGGGGGCGCATGCACTGGGCAGCTGCTCGAAGGCGGGAGGGCCGGCGCGGGGAGGGCCTCCTCACCCAGGTCACCAAGGAGACTTCCAGCACCAGAGACTTGCCCTGTGCTTTTTGGAGAGGATTTGCTGGTGACTCCGTGTTCCCTTGGCCTGTTCCTGAGGGGGAAATGAGGAGGGGCTCTTGCCTGGAGGGGCGTTTCTGGTCCATCCCCTCCCTCCCCCCAGGCCCTGCAGGGAGGTCAGCAGACAGATGCAGAGACTTGCTGGGGGTGGGGGGGTCATGTCCTCCCTGTGCCCTCAGCTGGGGGCAGCAGAGGCCCCTTTTTTCTGCACAGAGCCTCCCTGTGCCTGAGCTGCAGGGCCTTCCTTGTCTTCCACGGCCTGCATGGTCCAAATGCCACGGGGACAGAGCCCTGCTCCCGGACTCAGGCAAGGCTGGAGTGGAACCCCACCTAGGACCATCCACCCTGGACCCTGCTCTGCTCGCTGTCGCAGGCAGATGCAGAGCCGGAGCGGAAGACGCAGTTCTGATGCGCGCACGGGACCCTGGCTGGTTCTGTCTGCCCTTGAGTCCCCTCCTCCCTTGGTGACACAGTTTGATGTACGGAGCACTTTATAAGAAAGGCTGTAGGGATCAGTTACTGCTACCCCCTCAATAAACTGGAATTGTTCACAAATGGCATACATTCCAAAGTTTTTATCAATAAACACAAACAACCATTAAATCTGTTTATGAAAGTTGGGTAAGTTGTGTGTTGTCTGCCTCCCCCCTTCCTGGTGGTCAGAGATGTGGACGAGAACACCCTGTCCCTTGGGGTCCCATAGGGGACAGCCTCCGGTGCCTTAGACCAGGGTTTTAGCCCTGGGCCATGACTGTTCCTCAGTTTCCCCTTGATGGAGGGGTGGGGAACAAGGAGGGTACAGCTGCTCGCCCACACTGGTCCCAGCAAGAGCCCATGGCACCGCACAGGGCAGCACCCGGCCCTCCAGCTGTCCCCTTGGCACTGCTCTGTCCCAGGGAGCGGTCACGGCCCAACCGGGCCCTGCGAGGAATGTGGAAAAGGTAAAAGGTCTTTATTTTCGCCCACCCCACCCCACCCCCAAGACCCCAGCTCTGCCTCGGGCTCAGTGAACGGGTGAAGTGGGTCCCATGGCCCGTAGGGGCCAGCGCACTTCTACCTCGTCCACCTCATCCACCTCGCGTAGCGTGTAGTCCAGGATGGTGTCGGGGTCCTGGAACTTGAAGTACCCGTGGAATTTCTTCTTCTGGAGCAGGAGGGGAAACCAGTAGCTGTCATCGGGCCACATGTCCGAGAAGGGGATCTGGTCCAGCTGGAACCACCGAGGGCGCATTTCTGGAGCAGGTGGAAAGAGCACGGATGTTCCACCCAGGCTTAAACTGCCCGTCAGTGAGCAATGACCAGGCAGGTCTGTGTGAGGAACCGGGCGTACTCGGGTTCAGTCCTCCTGGCTGTGTCACTTTGCAGAAGAGGAACGAGGCTCAGAGCTAGATGCCGGCGCAGCGCCTGCCTCCCGGGACCCGGGCCTGGTTTCCCCTCGCCCGCTGGGGTGGGGAGGGACGGACTCCAAGACTCACCATCGCTCTCCACGGGCGTCCCCTGGACACTGTCTGTGCAGAAGATGTGCACGTCCATCAGCTCAGGCTCGCCCACGAACTCAAACACGATGTGGCCCACCTTGTGAAGTGCGTCCACAGTCAGGCCGCTCTCCTCCTGCAGCTCCCTGCGGGTGGGTGGGGCGGGTGACCCTACAGCAAGGCGCTGGGGAACACAGAAGCACTTCCCCACCTGGCGACCCGGCGGGACTTTGCAGTCATCTGGGGACCTTTCAAATACCGATTCTGTTCAGAGGTTCTGGTTCAGGGCGCACAGGCCGACCCAGCTCAACAGCCCGTGAGCCACGGGGCAGCCCAGGCCTGGCCGAGTTCAGTGGCTGGGGGGGGGGGGTCACAGGGGTGGGCGGCGGAGCTGGGGACCTCCCACCCTGTCCGGTTCCTGCTCTTCCCACGGGACGGCAACGGCCACACGGATGCTACTCTTCAGGCTGCAGGCTCCGGGGACCTGGGTCCCGAATCCCCTCTCCTCACACCTGTGCTGAGAACCATGGCCTCCCAAGGAGATGCCCCAACCCTCCAGCCAGCTCCCCTGTGGCTGATCACAGGACAGGGGCTTCAGGCCTCCTCCCAGGGACGCCTTTCCCACCCGAGCACAAGTGTGATGCGCGACAGCAGAACCAGGCCGCCCCCCCGGAATGTTCTGATGCTGGCGTCAGTTTTGAAGTAGCCCCCAAATCACATGTCTGCGGTAGATAATGTGGCCAGCACCCCTGGACGCCTCCCCGGAAGGAGCCCTCGTAACCATTTGTGTGTGATCTTTGGGCCGCCTCCTCCGTGCCTCCCTTCACATGCCCGCGCGTCTCACGCCGGAGCAGAATAACCCCCACCCCTCACGGAGCTCGGCCAGTTTCCCAACTGGCGTGGGTCACCGATAGTAACGGCGGCCAGCTTGCAGTGGCGAGGCGCCCGTGAGGAGCAGCTTCGCGCGCACCCCCGGACCGCTCTCGTCTGCCCGGCCAGCTGGCTCCTTCCCTCGTCCTTCACGCGGCCAATGCTCTCTGGAGGCTCTGTGCTCGGAACTCGGGGGGCTCCCCGGGCCCCGGCAGCCGCGGAGCTCCGTCTGTTCCTTCCCGAGTCTCGCTGCCCTACGTGTATTTTTGTTTCTCTAAGTGCTCTAATTACGCCTGACCATTTATAGTTGTATGTAAAGAATGGCTTTTTTTTTTTAGCTTTGATCTCCAAGTTCTGTTAGGAACACAATGCATAATTGCTTCCTGTGCCTGGAATGAGAAGCCAGGGAAACCACTTTGCTCATTAAATACACACACACACACGTTGGGTCTTAGCGGTCTGATCCCAGCAGATGCCTTCCTCCACTCGGAACCCGCCAGAGCTGCCAGGAAGGCCCGCAGCGGAGTCACGTGAGCTGGCTGCCGCGGCAGACCAGGCCCGAATGGTTCTGAAAGCCGGAATTTATTCACTGACGTGGTTCATTAAAATTAGACTTGACCTAAAAACATGGATGTGTGTGTTCACTTGGGGGTACAGATGGCCCCCCAGTTAAATGTCCTGGCACCCCGTGGGGCCTCCCCCAGCACTCTGGCAGCAGGCTGGTGGGGCTCGCTTTGAAAAACTTCACCTAGTGATTTCATGTTTTGACTAGT